GTTTGAGACTAAACAGTTTTCAAAATCTAACCCCAAACTCTTGAAGGCTGTGTCTCCACCAACAGGACTTGGAGTTTAGCACTACCTGCCTGTGTCAGTGAATACCCATATCACAAAGATTTTGCTTTAAAACCTTATCCTGCAATTTTAGAAAGCATTCATTCCCCCCCCCCAATATTTAGAGAAATAGAGACTAGGGCTAGAGAGATTGTACCTGCATGTACTTATTGTTCTTCCAGAGGTCCTGGGTTTAGTTCCCAGCATCCACTGTTGGGGAAGTCCTGTGTATATGTCAATAAAGCACTGTTGGCCAATAGGAAAGCAAGATAGGTGGAACTAGGAGTCCAGGAGGACTGTGGGTAGGAGAAACACAGAGAGTCAAGATGTAGCTACCATAGGGATCAGAAGTCCGGACCCCTTTCTCCGGTAAGAGAAATACTTAGACGGGTTAAATACTTAAGTCAGAGCTAGCCAGTAAGAAACAAGCAAGGCCAACAGCTTCATAATTAATATAGCCTCCTGTGTGTTTATTTGGGACTGATGCGGCTCTGGGACCAGGCTGGTGGGAAGGTTTCTCTTTACATAATGGTGATCAGGGGTGGGATGATGAATTCCCACATAGAATGACAAAAGCTTTAAAGGAATTTTAGAAACAGGTTTACAGTGTGTTTAAAATATATATGTAGAATTGAGAGAGAAAAAGAAACAGAAAAGTGGTAAATAAGTAGAGAAGCCAGCTGTGGTGGCGCACGCCAGTAGGATTTGCTGCAGAGGCAGGCAGATTTCCAAAGAGAAACCCTGTCTCAGAGAAAAATAAATAAAAGTAAAAGAAATAGAATAATAATAATAGTTAAATAAGCCATGTAAAGATGGAAAATACACAGAGAGTCTGGATACTGTACGCTATTGTTTTTTTCGGTTTTTTGATTGCTCAGGACGGAACAACTGCTAAAGTACACTTGATTATAAATGCTGCTGAATTAATTCAACTTATATCTTTTGAAAATGCCTTGACTTCAAAATTTAAGTATAAGTATATGTTACTTGGGAAAGTAGTTTTTGTTTGTGTTTCTACAGAAAATGAAAAGCTGAGGATTCCTTCCAGGCTTCTGTGGTTTGATGAACCAAGACCCCAGGAAGCAGTGGAACAGGTGTTCCAACAATTGAAACAGCTAAGATGATGCAGTCTTACAGAACCGGAAAATAAGGGCTTATACAGGTTTCTGAGTTTTTGTCATGATCCCCATGGTATGAACAGCGCCCCCTTCCAGCACGAAGCAGTTTGGAATGATTGACGTCCTAATTCCCATCTTGTTTATAAATCTTTGTTTTCATTTAAATGGGATTATTTATAATTGGTTAATGATCACAACCAATCTCTTTTTAAAGGAAAAAGGGATTATGGTATGGAAATGAGTACTTTGTATTGGTGTGGTTTCTCATTTATTGATACAAATTCAAGGTCAATTTTGTGATGTGTATATTTCTCCTCTTGATTAAGTATTGTGCTTATACTGATCTTTTAAAACATAATGCATGATTCAATACAGACTATAGATAGTTACTTATAATAGTCAGAACTTATAGTTAGGTTAGTTAGGTTTTCTAGATATACAGAGATATATTTGAGATAGATAGTCTTCAAACCTTTCAAAGACCTTCAGAAAATGGCATTTAAAATGGTTTAGGGTTTTTCTTGACAATGAGAAATGTCTGTTCCTGGCAGCACCAATTATGTCTGAGTAGAAGATGGGCATTGAAGAGACTCGTTATGGAATTTGCTTTCAACATGGCAAGATTAGCCATTTGGGCAAAAAACTGCTCTTGCCTAGACTCCTTGACTGTTGCTGTATAAACTGGACATACAAGACCCACAGGAAAGTGACTGCTGAACTCAAACAGTCCTTCAGGGTTCCTGATTCATGGAAGAGTCTACGGGACTTTCTGCAGGACACAGAAAAATGACTGGCAGACTGCTGATTCAGATGGACAGTTTGAAATTTCCTGCTTTGCTGAGAAGACTTCCAGACACACTGTGGCTATGGGCTGAAGATGGATGCCCCAACATTACAGAGAAACTCGGGTGACTGTCCAGGCAGTAAGATGTCTCTGTCAATCCTAGTGTTTATATATTATCCTTCTGTGGTCTTTGGTAGAGTTGAAGGCAGATAGTCATAATTATAGTTTTCCTTAGTTATGATAAAAGATAAGCTACATATAGGACTTTGGACTCACAAGAATGAGATAGATGATATTTTCTTTAAATCTTGCTAAATGTTGATAGACAAAATATTGTAACTGTGTTCTTACTTGATAACTGTTCTTTTATATATAATTTGACTATGTTAAAGTTAAGACCTTTCTTTTTGTTTAGACAGAAAAGAGGAGATGTTGGGAAGTCCTGTGTATATGTCAATAAAGCACTGTTGGCCAATAGGAAAGCAAGATAGGTGGAACTAGGAGTCCAGGAGGACTGTGGGTAGGAGAAACACAGAGAGTCAAGATGTAGCTACCATAGGGATCAGAAGTCCGGACCCCTTTCTCCGGTAAGAGAAATACTTAGATGGGTTAAATACTTAAGTCAGAGCTAGCCAGTAAGAAACAAGCAAGGCCAACAGCTGTGTGTTTATTTGGGACTGATGCGGCTCTGGAACCAGGCTGGTGGGAAGGCTTCTCTTTACAATCCACATTTGGCAGCTAAAAACCATCTGTAATTCCAGCTCCAAGGTATCTGACACCTTTGATCTATGGGCGCCTGCACTCTCGAATGCATACCCATGTGCAGACACATAGCTACACATAATGAAACTTAAAGTAACTTTAAAAATAAACAAAACTAAAGGTTAATTTATTCATTTCTTCTGCCACTACGAATTCAGACAATAGTTATAGCAGGAACCCTCGAGAGACAACTTTTGCATGCCAGTTGTTTCATAAAAGTATCGTTTTAAGGGAATTGCTTCAGTTTTACAATTTTTAACTCTTTTTTATTGTGTGTACATATGTGTGGGTACATATTCCTACAGAGTATAGAAGACACTGTTGGATCCCTGGGCACCAAAGGGAATTGTTTTGTTGTTGTTGTTTGGGTTTTTTGTCTGTCTGTTTGTTTTGTTTTGTTTTTAACACAGGTAACGCAGGCTGGCCTCCAACTCACTCTGACCTTGAAATCCTGATCCTCCAGCCTCTGTCCCAGAGGGATTATAAACCTATACCACTGCAAGTGGTTATAAACTGTCATTTGTTATCTTTTCCAAGTTTCCCTTCTTCCGTGTCGGATGTTGGTTAGCGCCTAAGAATACTTCGCGTTTTTCTGTATCTGTCGGTTTGACTTTAAAAACAGCATAACACAAACTCTGCACTGAACTTGATTTGGTTTTCAGCTACATTGGGATCTGCATGTTGTACGGATTTGAAGTACCAGGTGGCTCCAAAGGCCTTCTGGGAGCAATGACTCTCCTCTTATTTCTGGCAAATTGATACAGCTTGGTGAAACGAGCAGGGCATTTCCACCCAGCTAGTTCTCACCGGTGAGGCCAGGTTCCTGCCCTGCTCAAACAGGCCACTGAGGTGGTGCTGACCACGGACAGCCTCGGTCCAGCAGCACTCTGTTAGGAAAGCAGATAGATAAACCATCCCCTAGGTGGAAACCGGCCCTATCTCCTCGGCAAATCTGTGCTATCAAGAAGAGAGATGTGTGCACGAGACCAAAAGAAAAAAAAATTAAGCTAGGAATACTGCCAAATTCTTCCTCTGTCTCACACTTGCTCTCCTATGAAGCCGTTCTATCTCCCTGGGTGGGGAATTGTAGTTATCTGAAAGGGCCCTTCTCTACTTAGTGGAATCCTATAGCACAGTAAAAGGCTGTTAGCCAGAACGGTTAGCAGTATACCAGCGCACTAGCTGGTAATTATTAATTATGATGGCATAGCTCCATTTCGCAGCACCCACTATGAAAATCAAGGCGTCTAGGAAAGCCTCAGATAAGCATAGCCCTGGAAAATCAGAGACAGAGTTTAAAAGTATGTTTCCCCTAAAGTGCATAGGGCGTGCCTTACTAGATGGAGAAAGGCTGTCAAGAGTACTTACAGGCTGAGCCAGAAAACCAGGGGTCCTTCACCAGTCCCCAAGCTTCGAAGCCCTTCCTTCCCCGCCCCCCCCCCCCTGCTTCTGGGTTTGGGGAACTGTTCCTCCCAGGGCGCACCAGTTGTTGGCCTGGCTGTAGTCTGTGAAAAACAAAACAAAAAAACTGCACTCGCAGCAGGAGTGGGGGTAGGGGAGATTACAAGCCATTTCCTCAAAACATTGGCCTCTCAAGTGTTCTTCCTATGCCCCTAGCTCACCAAACCCGGGGCAGACTGCCTAAATACAGCTGCTCCTGGGCGAGCCGGGCATTGGGAATGTTCTTTGAGAAGAGACAAGGATCTGAATCTCCACAGCTTAAGCCTGTTTTCCCTTTTCTGTTGTCCTAAGAGGCGCCTGTCCCTTGGACTCCAGGACTAAGGTGGCTCGGGGTCGCCCAGAGTCTGAGACTCGCTCTGCGCAGTTGGAATTGGCAGGGATGCACCTGGCGCCTGGCGTAGGGAGGCGGGGACACGCGCTCGCTGTGGCAGGGCGCCAGGGATGTCCCCGGCCGCTGGCGTTCCCCGGGCTCTGCCCTGGGCGCGGCTGACGCCGAGACCTTGTCTGCAGAGAGCCGACCGCCCCACGACTGCCCCTTCCGCTCGCTCCAGAGCGTTTGACTCCCAGACTCCCGGCGCGCCCAACCCACCGGGGCTTCCAACGGGTCGAGGAGACCAGGAGGAAGCCAGTGGCGACTAACGGAGGCGCTTCGGGACTGGGCTGGCTAGCTGCGCCCCGGGGTGGAGGTGCGGTGGGGCGGGGAGTGGGGGGGGGGGGAGCGGTGCCGTAGGCGGGGCCGGGAAACCAGGGCCGGAAAGAAGGCTGAGTCCTGCGCGGGAGCCCGGGCTGCAGCTCCGTGCCTCGTACAAGCTTCAGTCGAGCGCCCAGCCCAGACACCCAACGCAGAGTCCTGGCCCGGAGCACCAGTGTCCCGGCGTCCTTTCTCCCTGACTGACCCTAGTTTTTCAGCCAAAACCTTTGACCAGAGTCTCCTTGCCAGCATTCCTAAAGCTTTGCCAGCTCTTGCACCAGGTAGGAGTCAGTCTCTGTGGTGGCAGTGAATCTATAAATGCCACTTCCCAGAAGGCTTATGACCTTTTCACCTTCTTCACCCACTCCTTCGGAGGGCGATGAGCCCGGTTAAGTGCTTGATCAGAGGCCACAACCAGTTTAAGTCCCTGGGTTGTCCTTGCTATTCATACACCAAACGCCACCTGCTGCAGTTCTCGGAAAGCCCTCGCAGATGGAACCGGACGAGATGGGGGAGGGAAGGACCCGGCAGACGCCCAGGACGCACCTTCTCGGGGGCTGGAAGGCCTGTAAGCACAATTGCCTGTGATCTAAAGCTGACGCTAGGAGACATTTGCCAAGATCATCCTGTCACCCCTATACCCGATTCTTGCCAGTCGTGTCCCTCCCTCGGGATGCAAAGAAATGGGACCCTAGACCCAACATTCAGAATTCCTGAAGCACCTGGGTTTCTACGTGGCTGGTCAGTGTCTGTAGGCGGCTGCCCCCTAGCTGAAAGGCGCGCCACCACCCATCCTCCGGGTTCATGCAACCCCAAAGGAGAGGGCATCAAATCTCGGGGAACAAAGCAGCCTGAAGCGTCGTGGGAGGGGGACCCAGCCTCGCGCCTTTACGGAGGGCGAGGAGGCCGCGCTCCGCTGCAGCCAGGCTCCGCACTCCAAGGTCTGCCTGTGCTTTACGTGGCAGAAACACGCTCGCAGCTCTCTGGGCTCAGCAGCGGGTCTCCCACAACAGCCAAGCTTTCTTCTCCCGGCCCACAGTCCCAGTCCGAGAATCCTGGAGCGCCCGGCTGCTTGCTGCCCCAAGCCACAGGCTGGCATCTGGGAAGTGGAGGGCAGGGGGAGGGATCTAGCTCAGCGATCATCACAAACGGGGGCGCGGGTGCCTGGGGATTTGGAGTTCGTGAAGTAGCCCCTATCCCCTGGCTCTCGGAACTCCTTGGCTCCGGGATCCTCGTCTACTGGAGAAGCCTAGCTCAGTCCCGGGTGCGGAGCAGCACGCCGAGGTAGACTAGCAGGACCCTGGGGTTGGTACCGCTCGCCTTGCCCTTCCTTACACACGCGCGTCCTTGCGCTCTGGGCTGACAACCTGTGCCCTCAGCGCCCTTCTTCCCGCGGAGAGCACCGCAGGGTATGGGGGTTAGCCTAGCCAACCCACCGGGAGAGCACGCCTAGGGAAACTTGAGTGTCTGAATCTCCAGCCAGGCAATCGCTGGCGGAGCTGTGCGGGGAGGGGGGCGGGAGGAAGCCAGGGAAGGGTTCTGGGAGGGAGGGGAGTTCGGAGGGGGAGGCGGGTGCCAGTGGAGAAAGTCCTCTCTCTCCCGTTCATCTTTTCATTGCTCTCTCTCCTTCCCGCAGACAACCCGGACCTCCTCTGGGCGCCAGCTCCTCGGCTCCAACCCGTCCAGAATCAAGCGGGATTTTTTTTTCCCTCTAGAAATTGGCTTTGGTGTGTCGCCCGCCTTCTCCCCTCCTCCTCTCAACTCCTCCCCTCCCTTTTTTTTCTCTCCTCCTTCTTCTTCTTCCTGAGACATGGCCCGGGCAGTGGCTCCTGGAAGAGGAACAAGTGTGGGAAAAAGGAGAGGAAATCGGAGCTAAATGACAGGATGCAGGCGACTTGAGACACAAAAAAGAGACGCGCTTCTCGCGGATTCAGGCATTGCCTCGCTGCTAGCCTTCCCCGCCAAGACCCGCTGAGGATTTTATGGCTCTTAGACGGACTTAAGAGCATTTCGGCTTGTTAAGATTCGGGTTTGCTGGGCTTTCGTCCGCGCAATCGTGTTCTCCCGCAGCTGCCTTGGGACTGGCTCGGCGAAGGAGGATGGAGAGGGGGCTGCCGTTGCTGTGCGCCGCGCTCGCCCTTGCCCTCGCCCGGGCCGGCGCTTTCCGAAGCGGTAAGTGACAGGCTGAGGTGCGAGCGATCAGAGTGCCCGGGGCTGCCGGGTCCCCTCCGGCGGTGGGCTTCCCGCCTCAACCGCGGGACGCGCGCACAACTGCCGGGCGCAGGAAACTTGCCTGCACTAGGAACAGAGAAGTCAGGGCCTCTGGGGCAGGAGAACCGCAAGCCCTCAGCACCCTGCTCCAGTTGGTTGCTGGCTGTGGGCTTCTCTTGCCAGTTTCGCGGCAGAGCTCCCTACCTTCCCAGATCAGCACACCAATTATCGTAATAATGTTTCCTCCCAGAGGCAATTAGATGAGACTCCCTTTCAAAAATCTGATGGCTGCTGAGAGTTAATGAACACTTCACCGGGAGGACTTCCTGGTTCTCCTCGCAACTCCTCTGCTCTGCTCGGTTTCCTCTGGTGGGCGACACGGAGAGATAGCGGTCAGTCTTGGCGATCGCTAGGACTCTCTCCCCCGCCTTTGTAAACCGTCCGTGGTCTGTCTGGAGTATGAATGAAACTTGCACTGTCAATAAAGGCTTCGGATCTATTCAGTGCACCGGCATATGTGAGAATCCCTAACCCTGTTGCAGCTTCCAGTTGGCTTTTAAAGCCACTCACTGTTAAGTAATGAAAGGCAGTCCTAGCTATAACCAGTGCCTTGGATCCTAAATAGTGTGTTTAAAATGGGATCCGGTACAAACACGTTCCACATCCCCTAGAAAGGTGCTGAAGGCCAGCCAAGAGCTGATTTGAACAGTACATTGTCAGTATTATTATTAACTAATGGCCAAATATTTACTTTTGTCTGACTTAAATTTCAATCAAAGTAATGAGGAGGAAAGTGCATCTACTACTTATTGTGGTATATTGTTTTAATAAGAGGAGACAAGCGGAGGGCTCTCTACCAGGAAGAGTTTATTTAAATCACTCCTTCATGATAGAAGTTAATCTCCTTAATGTGCATTCCCCACGTTTTGTGATTTCAGCGATAGATCTCTCCCAACAGGTACAAAGCAGTGTTCTCAAAAGATATGCAAAAAATTGTGAACGCGGCTGGAATTCAATTTATTAATGAATCCGAGTTGGCGGCATCTTCCCATATACTCTAGCAAGGAAGCCAAACACTCAAAAAATTCATGAATGTGGAGTTCAATTTGTTAATGAACCTGAGTTGGTGGAGTGTGTATGTACTCTGGCAGGGGATAAAGTATCATTTTTCTCCAACCAAAAGAACTCAAATGTTTAGACCTCAAAACGGGTACCCTTCACAACGCCTAAGGTTAAGGCAGTGGTTCTCAACCCTCCTAATGCCGTGACCCTTTAGTACAGTTCCTCATGTTGTGCTGACCCCAACCATAAAATAACTTTCATTGTTACTTTATAACTGTAATTTTGTTACTGTTATGAATTGTAATGTAAATACTTTTGGAGATGGAGGTTAGTGGAGGGGGGTTGAGACCTACAGATTGAGAACCCCTGGATTAGAGCCATGTTGAGATACTCAAAGAATGTTTGTGATAGCCAATGTGAAGAGAATTAAGATTTGTGTGGTTCTGAACAACAACAACAACAACACACACACACACACACACACACACACACACACACACACACACACACTTTTAATTTCCTTAACAGAAATCTGGGGAATGCTGAGAATCTGGGCTCCAGTCAGTTAAAACCCTGTTGCTATGCTTGAGGTGACCAGTGCCAACACATGCCTGGGTAAGCCTGTAGTCCTCTTAAAACCATATCCACCTCCTCCCAGTAAGTGTCTACTAAATTAATTCATTAACCTTATTTAGAACTAATGGTCCAGAGTCATTAGGAATTGCTCTCTCCTAATCAAGTGTTAGAGAGACTGAACAGAGTGTGTGAGTCCAGCAGTCCACATTATCTTATTACACTGTCACTTTCTCAGAAGTCACAGATTAAAGTGCTCTGGTGTGGTACCAACTCCACCTCACTGTCTTCTGAAGTGACTCTCTGGCGACTGTTTTATTTCACTCTCTTAACAGATGCCATGGTGGCCATACAGAGCTGGAGGGACTTAATGAGCTGGGGGAAGGGGGCGTCAGTCTCCGAGATTTCTGCACAAATGAAATAATGTCAGAGCCTCCCCAGAATCGCACCACTGAGCTGGCTGGCATCATTAGCTGGGATGCTGAGTGCCGGCTGCAACATCAGGCCCTCATGCAGACCTACAGCTTTTAAGAAGCCAATGGGAAGAGGATCAGCAAGACCAACCCCCTCCGTGCTAAGAAACAGTCAGAAACATCTAGCAATGGGAGAAAACAACATAATTTATATTGTCTTCTTTTTAATTTATGGGAAATGACTTCTGTAATGCATGTAGCTTTATGCATTTTTGATGCGCACTTCATCTTTCATTTCCATTTGACCTGGTTTTCCTGTAATAAAATTCCGTAGATTTATAAATTCATGCTGAGAGCAAAGAATGCTCTCCCTTTCCACAGGGAATCTATTAGATGTAATATTAAAATCTATATATACCATTACTGGATGTTTGTGATTGATAGACTTATATATTTCAATGCTTTATACCTGTTCCTCTTAACATAGTTTATGCACCAAATTTTTATTGCCCCAAATTAAGCATCAATAAATGGGGTGGCATTTGCAGGCTGGGGCTCTTGTATATGAAACCCATAATGAATAGTGACAGTAGCGATCCATGCTGAATTGTAAAGAAGCCCAGAATCTGGTTTGTTCTGCTGTTAGAGAGGCACTTCAACATTTGAGTTTTTTGTTGTGGTGCTGGTTTGTGTTTCGGTAAAGACTCCAAACTAGATAGTTTATCTTTCCGGGGATGTCAAAATATAGCTCCCCATATGTGACGCCCAGACCTCAGTGGCCAGGGCTTCCCCTAACATCTAGTAATTAGAATTAGCGCCGTGTGGCTATTTATTTTTCTTCCTGCCCCATTGCTTTGATCCGGTCGCCAAGGCAGAGCAACTTGGATAAGCAAAGCAGAGTTCTTTCTGCATCGCTAGCTGCACTTTGTTCTCTGCTGATCTGAGCCTCAAAAGCCGAGATAACTCAAAATCATTCAGATTTACAGGCAGATAAAGCAATAACAAAAGGGTAGGCCTCCGGCCAATCTAAGTCCTGGAGGACAGTCCCCTCTGGTCAATGACACTGACCAGGCTTATCATCAAAACACCACTCGCTAGGAGTGGCACAGCATTTTAGTCACCTTCTACTTAGAACTGTTCCTTAATGTGATTACACTTCTCAGAGGATAATTAAGTCTAGCAGCAGCTCCCAGGGGACTGTGTTAACATCAATTGAGGGGGATTTAATGTTTTTAATACTAGAAGACCTCTTTCTTTGGAAGCAAGTTTGGGTGTGTGGGTGTTGGGGAGAAGCATCTCAGAACCCAGTAGAAGCCATGTTCCTTGATATTAAAGAGTGTTCTTTGGTGGGGTGGTGCTCCTTGTGTTTAGGGTCACATGGAGGACTGGTGCAGACACTTTGGAGTTTCTCTTAACCGAGAGAATGTTTGCTAGCTGTCAATGCATACATAAAGCTAAAAGACTCAACTGGTCATGGGGGGAAGGATCTGCTAAAATGTTCTTTTTGTTGCAGATAAATGTGGAGGGACTATAAAAATTGAAAACCCGGGGTACCTTACATCTCCCGGTTACCCGCATTCTTATCACCCAAGTGAGAAGTGTCAATGGCTGATCCAAGCTCCAGAACCCTACCAGAGAATCATGATCAACTTCAACCCACACTTCGATTTGGAGGACAGAGACTGCAAGTAAGTGAACGGAGTTTGAACAGGGCGCCACAGCACCATCTAGTGGTCGTGAGTGTCCGTGTGGTGGGTGTAAGAACATGAATGGGTCCCAGCCCAGATCAGATCGAATGTCAATGGTGTGGAAATGAAGTTACAAGAGTCTAATGAGCTCTCCCAATATGTAAGGCTGTGTTTAAATGCATGATCACTTGTCCTCTTTCTGTTGACACTTTTGGTTTGGGAAATCTTTTGTTAAGAAATGTGTGGTGTGTGGTTCTTTCTGGAAAGTGTTTTGAGAAAAAGCTTGTGTTTTCTTAAATATTGTGGGTCACCAGTATACATTATCTGCAGATGGTGAAGTTGGGTGTTTTTAAAACAAATCTGTGGCTCATTTAATGACTTTAGAACTGTGTTTCTCATGTTTGGGGAATGTAGCTCAGTGGCAGGGGGTTACCCCAGAACTCTGATTCCAACGATTGTATTGAGTTTGACATGAAAAAAGCAGGTTGTCATGGGGAAGAAATACAATATATAGGGTGAATTGGGTGAGGGTTTAGCATTATTGTTAGTGTTTGTTTGTTTATTTGTTTGTGACAAGATCTGTCTATGTAGCCCTAGATGGCCTGGAACTTACTATTTAGTTCAAGATGGCTTTGAACTTAGAGATGCACATGCTTCTGCCTCCCAAGTACTGAGATTACAGACATTTGTCACCATGCTGAGTTTAAGCAAGAATTTTAAATATTAGATTAACAGTGGAAAACTTTATGAAACTGATAAACAACATTACACAAATGCAATGAGAACTTAGGCATATATCAGGTTTGAATTTATCTGCCTTACCTGATTAGCTCTATCAACTTGAAGTTACCAAACATTGGTCTAGTCAAGTTTCATCATTACAACAATATTTTACTGTGGAGATCATCTAAATGATGCCTACTCTCTTTGTGTGGAAATCCTGGGGTGTGGATGTAGAATCTGTTTGTGAATTATACGAGGTGAGCCACTGAGGTCTTCAGGGCTCATCACTTTCCACATCCCAGACCCACCTCTTGGTGGCTTGCCTGCCTGATCCCATTCTGGAGTACTGGAGGGAGTGCAGCCTCCAGTTTGAACTTGAATATTAATGAATCGTAATGAAGACATGGGCCAGTTCTTCTTGCTTTGGACTTAACCATGTTACAGACATGTACAATGGTCAACGCTATTCTGTTGGCATACTTTTATTCTTGTTAAAAGCCAGAGTGATATGAAAACATTTCCACCTGTACGAAGGACTCAGTAACTTGTTGGTTTCCTGGTGTGCTAGCAACCAGTTTTTCATCACCAGGGAATCAAGGTGTCTACTTTATTCACGGTGTTAGTGCCCAGAAAATTAGAAGACACATTTGTGGATAGTTAGCATACATAAAATTATTCTGATTTCAGTTTAACCATGTCTCAGCACTGGATTGAGTTTTAATCTTTTGTAGAATTAATAGAGTGCTCCAGCGCTTTCTAGAAAACAGGGAATTATTTTGATTTTGTTGTTGTTTGGAAGTTGTGGGGGTCAAACCTAGGATTGCATGAATAGTAGGGCAAATATTTTATCACCGAACCACACCCTAGCTTGTTATTAGTCATTACAATGTTAATAGCGTAGACAGCCTGGATACTGTGTATTTTGTTTATCTTTTCATATTGACTATGTTTAAACTGCTGTAGGAGATATTTTCAAGAAACTCTGGTAATACATGATTCCTTCCAAACTAAAGTGTTCTTAGATTTCAATAAGCTTATGTTTACTGATTTCTGACTAGGAAATCATAACCATGTAGGTGTGTAAAAGAATCAAGAGCTCTAAGTGATCACTTGTCATCAGAGGTAATAAACATTCAACAGCAGATTCTGGGGAGGAAGCAAGTCTAGTCCTGATCTGTGATTTTGCTCATTTCCATGTCTTGAATGTTCCACTGTGGACAGTTTCCAACTCCTCAAGTGATGTTGCCATGTATAGCCTTGCAGAGGGATGCATATTCAGCAGTGACTCTGAGAGCTGGTATGATGAGCCCAACACACCCTGCAGTAGCAGTTTGGGATGGACACCAATTGATAAACTGTTATGTAAGATAGTGCTTTCACACACACACACACACACACACACACACACACACACGTACACCGCACATCACTTCCAATAAGAACTACCTGCTCTGAGGGTCATGGCAGTCAACACCCGCGATCCCAGCACCTAGGAGGTAGAGGATGCACAGGGCCCCTCAGCTACACAGCAGGCTTGGGACAACTTGGACTGCCTGAGACCTTGTCTCAGAAAACTGCAAACCAGTCATCATGTTCATCTTAGTTGAGATAGCTAATGTTTCTCCTAATGTTTCTCCCTTGTTGGCTGTGGAAGATGGCTAGTGACAGAAGAATGACCTGTTGTGCTGGTGCTATTAGGTTACTGGTGGATTAAGTGAGGGAATCACTGAGAAGCTAAAAGCTCTCCACCAATACATTTTCATCATGACTGTGACATCAACAATTTGGTTATTGTTAGAACATTTCAAAATATGAAAGCAAACATATGTCAAACTAAATTTATTGATCCTGTAATGTGTTGATTCTCATATAAATACAACTTGCATTTTTTTCCCTGAAATTGCCACTATTTGTACAGTCAACTTTCACCATGAGAAAGCAAGCAAGAAATCAATTTCTTGTAACATTCACTGAGGGCAAACCTCTTTGAGACCCAAGGAAGCAATTCTCTTTCCTAGGGTGGAGAGCTGGATGCATCATTAGACCAGCCAACCAGTGCAGCAGGGGAAAATCTCTATTTACATTTTCATTGTTTTGTTTGTAATGATGTAAAAAGCCATCATAGAACTCTGACAATTCAGGATACAATCATGAGCTTTCCTCGTGAATAGTGCTAAAACTGACCTAGCTCACAAGTCAATTGTGGACTTACTTTACAAAGTAAGGGTTAGGTCCTCACAGTGACTAGAATGGGGAGGGGGTTCTTGGGGAAAATGAATGTGTAAATGATTGCTGAGATTTTTTTTGGCATGCAGTCCATGTAGATGCTGCCATTCAACTGGGTTCATTACACACAATCATTGAGACCATGGTAATGTAACCCTTCCATTCTCTTATTGAACAACGTGTGGTGTAAATCAATCAATAAACACACAGCAGAGCACCTGTCTTCGAGGCTAATAAGGGGCTAGGGCTTCCAGATGGATGTTCTTGTGTCAATGTAAGAGACAACTCTAGAATGTTCTGAGAGCAGAAGGTGTTGAGGAGGTGGCAGGGACAGTAACTTTTTTCCTTTCACACCCGTCAAACCCTGCATGTTTAGGAAACACTAAAGCACCATTAAAAGTATAGCAGCTGAGACTGTGTGATTGAGAAATGTCCACTGTACCTTGGAAACGTTGAACTGCTCAGAACTCCTGCTCCAAGGCTTCCTTCAGTGGTAAAGGCCGACATCTTGAGTCTCATAAAACTTTATTTCTGTATAATAAACAAGAATGCCATTGACGAAGTAGTTAGGATTTATGAAACTTCTCTGGCTTCCCAGCAATGCAGGCTATCAGCATGATAATTTATAATGGTTTGTGACAAATACTGCCGAGCGGAGAGGTGTATGGTTACATTCAGATCGGATGTCTTTATCTGGGGAGCAATAAAAATTTCACAGACCTTGGGTTAAAAACATTAAGGAAATGAATGTGAAGCTGCCGAAGAAAAGCCTTGAAGGTAGAGCTGGGGAAAGAGGCCAGCAGAAGGGTCTTTCCGGATGGGACCCTTGCTTCACCTGAGTTTCTTAACTCGACCAGGATGTTTGCTCTCTCCCTTCCTTTGCCACGTCTCAGCATCAGCAGTGATGAGTATGTTTCTGGATTCCAGGCAGCCGAAGGAACCTTTCACTCCTGTGGCTCCGTATAAATCACGGTGAAATCATAGCTAAATAGAGATGATAGTCAAATCATGGAGGGAGCTATAGACTAAATCACACTGTGTTTCCTTATTACTACTTTTAAAATCTCCCAAATGTTTACAAGCTTGGGAACACTGCTGATCCGATTTCCTTTCAAAGAATGCAAACAATTTATCAAAACTTAATCTGTCTTTAGTTTCTTAAGTCTGATTATCTCTGCAAACTAAATTTCTTAATTTTACAATGACTATTTAGTAATTTTTGGTTCAGTCCCATTTTTGTTTCCCTGAGTAAAATTTCCTGATTTCATTCTTTCTTCCTTTCTTTTTTTTTCAGCATGAATTTTGGCATCAGTTTTGATTTTTGACTGTTACATCAAAAACTACATTTCCAGAAGTATTGTTTATGTGTATATACGTGTGTGTGTGTGTGTGTGTGTTTTTCTGGGTATGTATTTGTGTGCGTATGTATATATTGTATATGTGTGGGTATATATGTGGTATATGTATGTAGGTATGTGTGTGTTTCTGGATATATGTTTTTGTGTGTGGGTTTATACTGTATATATGTGGATATACATACATATATACATATATAATTATGTGTATGTAGATAAGTGTGTGTATGTTTCTGGTTTTGTGTGTTTATATTATACATGTGGGTATATGTACATAGGTGTGAGTTTTTGTCCTTGTGTGTGTGTGTGTGTGTGTATTAGAGAGTATATCCAAGGCAAGGCCCGCCACCTAGTCTTTCACTTTTTAGCATCGCTTGGGCTAAAACAAAAGCTTTTATTCAAAACAGTGGGGACCTCAACCAAAATTTTTCTTCATTTTCTATATGAAATATAGGAGTATATAAACTTACATAAACTTTTAATTAGAATTTATTACATAATTAGAAAGTGTGTAATGTTAGTGTACCAGTTGATATAACCTTGGGAGGTCCCCAGACCAGAAAGAAGCAGTTCCAGTTCCAGAATTCCCTGATATCTACCATCAGTCACTGACTATGCCCTAGAGAGGAGCTGCTCTCCTAAACTCATATAATTCCATTTTTGTGAGTTTCAAAGTCTAAGAGAACTAAAGCATTG